TTTCTCCCGAACACAATAGGAAGGTTGTGGAAAGATTCTAAGGATTATAATACTTCTCAATATTCTTATGGTTCTCAATATTGCAAACCATCCAAAAGTTCTATACGGATTCTCAAAAAAATTCAAAATTAATTTGAATTTGTTCAATTCCTTTCTACACAACCACAATACATATAAGGATGGGACTAATCAAGGGATTAATGGAGTAGGTTTATTTTTATTTTAAAAAAATTTTTACCAAATTTCTATCCCAGGATGTTAAAAAATAACCCTTGGGAACGAAAAGAACGACTTTTTTAAAAAATTGCAAGCGGGAAGTTGCAGTAGTTCTACAACAAAAAATTAAGGTCCAACTTTCTCGACTGTTAACGCTGATTTTTGTATAACACTTAAAAAACCCAACAGATAATCCAACTCTTTTTATCATTACAGAGTAGCTACCAATTTATTAAGTTTCTCTATACATATCAAAAATGAAACATTATTGTGCAGAACTTTTTTCCCATCATACAATAACTAATAATTCCCAACTCAGACTGTATTTACACATTTCTAGAGTTTGTGAAAATAAAAACGATAGAATTAAATTTTATTTAATTTGAATGAGACGCGCACGTTTACTTTTTCTATTAAAACAACTGAACTTCCTTACTTTGTAAGTTTTCCCAGAGTTTTATTTAAATGAAATAGAATTAGTTTTACTTTGCTTTTATTTTTATCTAGGTACTTGTTAAGAAGTTGATTTGTATGGGGAAGGCTACATTCCTTAGTGTACTAAAAAAATTCAGTAAAGCTCAGTAAAATTATAATTTCAATTAACTCGCAAATTGTTCTACTTTGTAAAGTAAACCTTCGAGTTTCTTAGTAAAATTGTCGGTTTAAATTAAAATGTACAATTTTTCAACAACAACTAATCGAGACCCCTTAAAATTCATGCGTTATGTCAAGATAGCGAAACCACGTTTCCGGTTTAACGAAGTCTCTTTCAGTGATGTGAGAGATACAATTTCAAAAATGAGAAACAATAAGAGCAAGGACTGCTTTGGACTAAGTGCCGTAGTCATAAAAACAATTATTCACTACATCACTGTACCCCTTACGAAAATTATTAATGCGTGCATACGAACTAATAATTTTCCTAAGGTGCTAAAAATTGCGTCAGTTGTTCCGATCCTGAAAAAAGGGAACCAAACTGATATGAACAATATTATCGTCCAATTTCAATTATATCCATATTCGCCAAAATTTTTGAAAAATTTGAAAAATTACTAGCCGACCAAATAACAAATTTTTTTGAAGATAACAACTTATTTTCCGAAAACCAATTTGGATTTAGGAAAGGACACTCGACGATTGATGCCGTCCTTGCTCTTATTAATTCCATTCATAACAGTCTTGATCTTAAAGAATATCACATCACGACATTCCTAGACCTACAGAAAGCCTTCGATTGCGTCTCCCATGCTATCTTACTAAATAAATTACAATTTTACAATTTTGACGTCGACAGCAGAGATTTAGTTAAATCATATTTATCAGAACGACTCCAGTATGTAACCATTAATAACACCAAATCAGAGCCAACGACAATGCGACACGGGGTGCCTCAAGGATCAGTACTAGGTCCTGTTCTCTTTTTAATCTATATCAACGACCTCGCTTGTTTCATGAGCTCACACTGCAATATTATGCTGTTCGCTGACGACACTTCTTTGTCAGTTAGCTGTAGATCTTTTGAAAAGGCAACTTCTCTTAGCAGGGAGGTGCAAACGAAGGCCACAGAATGGTTCAATGCAAATCAATTATGTCTAAATAAGAACAAGTCTTTAAATGTTACATTTTCACTGTGCAAGTTTGACGTATCCCTCACGTCACCGAAAGTTAAGTTTCTGGGCGTACATCTTGACTATAAATTACCATGGCATAATCATGGGGATGAAATTTCTAAAAAAATAGATTCTGGTATTTACCTGTTACGTGCGGCCTCGGGTAGTCTATCTGCAAAAATTCTTAAAACAATATACTTCTCGTTAATTCAGCCTCATATTTACTATGGAATATTGGTATGGGGACATTCCAGTATAGCCAATCGTATTTTCGGGCTACAAAGGAGAGCCATTAGGATCATTCATAACCTTAAATATAGAGAGCAATGCAAAGACGCTTTTGCATCGCTCCGTATATTAACATACCCTTGCGTGTATATACTGGAGTGCCTACTGTACATAAAAGCAAACATTGTACATTTTGAGGTACACTCTACGTGCCATAACTATCAGACCCGTAATAGGGATAACGTAAGTCTACCTTTTGTGAGGCTGGACAGGACTACATTTTCGTGTTAAACAGTACTTGACTGCAAAAGCTTTTTACAGCATCAAGGAGTTTTTAACAAATGATTTTTCTGACTTCGGTGACACTGTTCTCTGTGATTAAGCTGTGATATATAGTAATTGTAACCTGTGATATTGTTCGTCTCACATATTTTTTCTGTAATTGTTTTCGGTTGACGAGTGTTAAAAACTTTGAATGTTTTATTTACACAATATAAGTTATTATTATTATTATTATTATCATAAGAATCTTTTATCGATTATCACTTCCAAATGAAATTCAAATAGGTATTATAAACACTGAAAAACTCATGTTTGGAAAATGCTATAGGTAGTACTTGATTTTGAGTTCTTGTGAAAATTCTCAAAAATGTTTCTTTGCTATTTTCATCATATACTTAAAATTATACTTCAATGGCTACACTGTATATCAGTGGTAGAGCATTGGGCTACATAGCCGGAGGTTGGGTGTTCTAAAGTTTGGTTGAGGTAAAAATTGTTCATCTGTGACAAGAGATGGGAATCTCCTTAGATCAGTTTCGAGCATTCTGCCGGCTACTACGAATTAGGTTTTCCTGAAGTTTTCCTAATTCGTTAGGTAAATACCAGAGTAGTACAGAACAACATAAGACCTTTTACCTCTAAAAAGCAGTATGCGGGTCACTCTGTAATTGGGCGCAAGCTTGTTGAGGGCCTAGAACAAGGGAGGGATAATAAATAATAAATAACAGTAATATTAGGTTATGACCCGGACATTTATAATTCCTAACCGGGACCTTTTGGAATATGTTCTGGTACTTTCCAGGATGACGCTCAAATAAGAAAGTCGGGATATCTTGGAATTTCAAGTAAATCGTTATAAATAACACAATTTTTTTAACTTTCAGATTTATTCTCCAGTGCATTTCAGTGTCAAAAAACATAGAAAAACTGGAATTTTCCTAGGGAAAAGATAGAATGGGTTTAATGTGATTGAAGTGTACGCATTTCTGTTACTGTACACTGTCTTCACATAGGTATTGAGCGGTACCGTAGGATCTCGTAGATACAAAGACCCCCTCGCCTTTGAACCCACATTGATAAGGACCTCATAAGTTATTCTCTGGCATTTGGTGATAATTTTATTCTTTGTCATACTACACATTTTCGTTGGTATTTAATATCTTTATCCGTAATGTTTGAAATAAAATGTGCTGCAGAAGGTGGAATTCGACGGAAATATAAAATTTACAATTTTATATTACATTTGATTTAGCCGAATATCAAGAGATGTAAAACCGCAAGATATTTCTCCTTCAAAATTAAGATAAACGCATTATAGAAGAAATTTTCATCATTCTTCGATTGGGATTTCATATTACTTCACTAATATTTGCACTTTCCATTTTTTATTTACTTTAATAGAGAATTGCTTTGCAATATTATTCAGCATTAGGAATACGGAAAATGTGGGTACGTAATAGGCTTAACTTCTTAGTGAATTCCCAAATGTTATGTAATTTAAAGCGCTTTCCATGTTTCTCTTCTATTAAATAATAATTTTCTATTAGGAGAAGTATCAACCGTAATATGGAGTATATGATTGAACCCTTGAGGAAATCCGGGTTAGGGCTTTGTGTCCTTTAGATGCGTTTGTATGTGAATGTATGTTCACGACAATGGTGTCTCAGCTGAAAGAGCTATACATCCGTTTTTCTCCGTTTGCTACTAACATTCCATTCGAATGGATTCTTTTAATTAAGCGTTATAAGGAACGAAATCCGCTTTACTTTATTAATATTAACTGAACTGTCAACAAAAAGAGACTCTAAAAAATGCTAAAATAAAACTTGAAATATTTTTGCGTGAGGGATTGAAAAGGGATTTCCATTATTCATATTTAAATAAATCACACTTATGCATATTAGAGAATTTAGTTCATGATGCGTGAAATTGCCAACGCCATATGAATGCGGTAGTACTAATTGGTGTTCCGTTATGCTAAACCGTCCTAAAGAGCTTACAAATTAAAACTCTTGAAATACTACTACTAAGCACCGAGTTATGAAAATCATTTCGACCTATAAAGACTCTAAAAAGAAAAAAACACTTTTTAGAGGAAAGTAAAGAATCAATTAATTGCTCTTCTTTGCAATTTAATAATTAATTGTCAAGATGGTACACTATGTGGCATCTCCTAACTTTCAGTACCTACAACAAATATGTGCAGTTGTTCACTGATGTTGCTGTTGATACGCGTTCGAGATTTTAATATATTATTGTGGTTTATTGGTGTAGTTTTTTAGTTTAGTTTAACAGCCGTAAGTAGTTCCAGTGCTTTCAAATACAACAAATAGTTTTCCAGGCTCAAAATAAATTAATAACAAACAATAAAATAACAGAAAGGAAAATTTGAAGCCTAATCCGCAAATATAGTTTTAATGGGACCAAATTGATGGCTGCATGAAGGTTCTACGATATTGCTTTCCAAAAGTTTGTCTAATTCCAGATTTGTGGATTCCTGTACAATGGGAGTAACCGGGTAGTACCGCTGTTTGACTGGTTCCGAAGTAGTTACTATCTTATACTTTACCAGAGTAGTAACGCCAATACCATCAGGCATTTTGGAAAAAAATGTTATTAAAAAAATTATTTAATTTTAATTGGTCTTCAGAAGACAAAGCTGTAGTAGTAAATTGGATTTTGAAATGTTCACTCCGTCGACAGCAAATTTCCACACGCTCAAAGTGGGCACTATCTCCATGAGCCTAAAAAAATCGGCGCCTAAAATTATATTGTGATTCATGCTAGGGACTACCAAAATATCCATGATTTTAATTCGGTTTTTCAACTTTATCGGGACTGTTTCAGACCCGATAACAATTTTCTCCGTTCTGTCTGCAAGCTCGTTGCCTGGTATACCTGCGTGTCCTGGCACCCAAATAGATATGATGGATACATTTTTGTTGTTTAGGTGTAATAGTTCTGATTGGGCCAGTTTAGTTAAAGCATTATTGGAATAAATTTGTGTTAAGTCTGTTAATGCATTTATGTTATCGCTTGCAATAATAAATCTTTGAGTTTCAGACAACGAGGAACAGTGCTGAAGAGCTTTCCAGATGGCATATCTTTCTGCAAATCCTATAGTCGACTGGGGGTTTAAAGTCCATTTATTTGTTATCTGCGAGGCGATCGCACATCCTACTCCATTTCCAGATTTAGACGCATCGGTAAATATGATGTCGTATTCTCCATACTCACTACATATATTTGTAAATTTCTGTTGAAATGTATCAAGTGGGATTTCTTTACGTTCGAACAGCACGAGAAGCTTCTGAACATCCACAAGTAGACGTTGACGTGATGGAAAAAACGGACGCATTTACATACCTAAAAGCAAAAATATTAGACACATTGCAACATAAATGGCAAGCGGCGAATACAAATCTTACCACAGTAAAACGGCAAGTAAGGGGAATGTTTTACATTAAACATATGTCCAGAGCAGATATGGTCAAAACACACAGGCTGAGGATTGGTCATGTAAAGGTTACACACGAGCATCTGCTGAAGGGCCTCGATGCACCCTTGTGTGAATACTGCAACGAGAGAGTGACCGTAACGCACATAATTTACGACTGTGCAGCACATAACCACCAAAGAGCTGAAAAGAAATTAATGAGAAACTTACATGATAATCTTAAAAGCGATGACCGGATTAGAAGTACTCTTGACTACCTAAAATTGATTAACATGTACAACGAAATATAATGCGGCAGTAATAAGACCTTACAATTGATTGGAAGTAGACGAAAAGACCTTAGCAGTCGAAGGCAAATTGAGATGACACAAAGCTTGTCAACCGTGACTTCCTAATATCGTTCTTGAAGCACCCGGGGTATCCCGAAAATAGAAATTTCTAATCATGGTTTGCTATCGTGACTGAAATGCGACAAAATAAAGTAAATTATTGGTTTGGTATGGTTAATGTAAGTGGTCCATTTGATTGTAAAGGTAAAGAATCAGAGACAACATCTCAACCTAAAGATGCCTCTTGATTTCGTTTTTTGAAAGCTTATTGCAGGAAGGACATGTGCGTACGGTGAAATTGTTTTTTTTTGCATTTATAGCAAAATATTCTGGGACGATATAACGTGAAAACAAACGTTTACGATAAAATTCTGATATCCAGCTACTCGGGTCGGTGGTTGTAGGCAAGGATAATTCATCTGTAATAAACAATAACATTCCGACAAAGAATTAACTTCCTTAGTAAAATCAGTTTTTATTCAGAATTGAAAATGATTTTCGTTGGCACGTAGTGTACCTACATGTAAATAAATAATTAAATTGAAATGTGATTCCTGAAGATTAAAAATTAGAACAACCGCTATAAATTCAATATGGCCATATTCGTACAGAGATAGCGTTGTATATAAAAAATAAGTACTTGGTTTGAATACAATTGGTATACCAATGGACAAGTAGCCAAATTTAACTTCAATTAATAATTACTTCTAGAACATTAGAAAAAAAATCAATATAGCTGCCAACTTCTATACAACAAGTTGTTCTTGTCCATGGTTTGAAAAGAAATTACAAACTTGTCTGAAATGAAACCAATTCCAAAACTACATACCAACGGGATTGATTTGATTGGTTTTTCATTAAAGGTAGGTTTTCTTTGCACACTGAGTATTGGTAGAACACCCACAGAAGTTGAAATTTTCGGAAGGTTTTTCCAAATCCAAATGAATCTGGCGCTAACACCAAACGAAAAAACGTAGAACCTCAAACGTGCTGCTTTTATCAAACTCCCCGCAACATCAGTTCGTAATTCTGGATCCAATACCAATTTTACCAGAAAATAAATCGAGTAAAAAATAAAAGGCTAAAATTGTATGCATGAACAAAACGAACGCTCAACAAAAAACTTACGATTTGGTAACAAATCCCTTTTTCAATAATCCTCGTCGGACTCAAATTTCAACGAAATTTCGGTAAGCAATAATACGTACTTCTTTCAATGGCAATTATATTTGCGTTTAAATTAATAGTAATTTCTAGAACGTAATTACTTCTTAACGTCGTCTTGACACGTTCAAAGCTATCAAGGAAGTGTCCGCTTATCGTTCGGAAATTTCTTCAAGGATTTGTTGATTTCAAATAATTTAAATAAAATAGAAAATGTATTACACTGTTAAACTTAATTCATTTTACACTGTTAAATTAATTTGTTACAACGGCTGTCGCAGTTAATAACTAGGTATATGCCCAGTTTTATTGCATCGGAAACATCTTACGTTGGAACTGTTACAGCAGGGCGCCCATTGAATCGGATCGGATCGGATCGGCACGGAACAGTTCTGTCGGAATGATTTGAAATACGTAGAAATAGATTAACATCCGCGCACTGCTTCCGCCACGCTCGGCAACGTCCATCGGTTGGCTTCGGAATCAGTCCTTTTTGCTAGAGAGGGCAAAAAATACCGAAGGTCCGATGTTTTCTCGTTGTGATTTCTGATCATCTCTTAATACATCAGGAAACAGGTTCACAAATTCTTCAAGTGCATCTCGTTAGTCGTTTGAGGTTAATTTCGTGAACCCAAAATCTCCATTTTGTTTCTCTATCTCAAGGCATGCCAACGCGATCATATCATCTTCGTCGGAAGATGAAGAGCTCATATTATATAAATTATAAAGTATTGTTTATAAAATTCTAACCGAACTAAAATTAACTACACGCCACAAAAATTATATTTCGACTGATAGACTGAAGCATACCGATTTGGTGAGCGAGTGTTGGACGTTTCCGGACTGAGCGATGCCGTGCCGATCCGATCCGATCCGATTCAATGGGCGCCCTGCTTACACCGGGAGGCAGCGTACATAGTAACTAAACCATAAGCGACAAAATATTCGACAATACAGGCTGAAAGTACGTTGAAAACTAATAATAAAATCACTCGTCTGCCAGTGGTAAGTGGCAGCATTAACTTGGGGCGTCGCTGAATAGGTGACTTCTTTAGGTGATCAACTAAATTAATAAACTATAAGGGTCACGGAAAAGATTTGTATCAAGAAATCCCATTTTTTCGATAGTTTTCAAATATGCTATGGCAGACGATTTCAAGTGCAGCGTTGGTAGCGAAAGACGCCCTTCAATGTAGGGAAAAACACCCCTGAACTAAACCATGAGGACCGTATAAAAATTATACATAAAAAATTCCTCTTTTTGTCACTACTTTAAGATATTATCCTGGCAGACGATATCAAGTGTAGCTTTAATAGTGGCAGACGTCTAAGAAGTTAAAAAAATTAGGTATAGTAAATCCCAGCGAGTGCGAGCGTGTGAGAGATAAGCGCGCGAGAGCACAACGAACAGAGATAGCTATAGATTTACGCACCGCTTGAAGTTACCAAACGAATGAAATTAGGGAAATAAATTGTTTATTTCGCGATAAGATTGTGACAGTGATTCCTCAATAGTAGACGCGAAGGCATGTTCTACTCCAAAATCAAAAGTAGTAAGTTCACATTCAAATATTAAGCCAATTCCCTGTTAAAGTGGAACTTGAAATTTTCTGGGAAGCAATCCGAATTGTCTTTAAGTGCCTTTCTCGAACGTGTCGAGGGACTTAAAGTTTCCGGTCATGTAACAGGTGAAGAATAATTATTCGCTTCAGCCAATGATCTTTTTTCTGATATAGGTAGTATTAATATGGTTTAGATCAAATAAAAGCAAAGTCACAGATTGGGAATCCTTAAAAATTTTGTTAAGACAAGAATTCCAACCGCGAAACTATAATGATCTGCTCTTCAAGTAAATTAAAGAAAGAACGCAGCACCCAGACGAAAGTATGGGAATATACATCGCATGCATGGATAATCACTTCCAGCGCCTAACTGTAAAAATTCCGGAAGCCGTCCGATTCAAAATTATTTTTGATAATATGGCTCCCTTCTACAAAATATTAAGTTGGTTAAAGAGTTGTTAGAAATGGCCAGAGACCTAGAAGCAAATCGAGTATCGGTAAATGATTACGTTCCTCCACCACCTAAAACTAGAAATAGTTTATAAAGAGAGCTCGCTTGTATATATTCTTCACCTACAACTTCCGCAGCATTAGATGAAGTCGCTGCTAGCGCTCCAGCTAGACCGGGAGGCAACGTACATAGTAACTAAAAAATTAATTTCTAAGAGGTTAATATGATGAGTCTGACTTACAGAAGTTTGCAAATGATATTTAATTGTTTTTTCGTACTATGACCGTTTAAGTTTAAAAGTTTATTATTTATTATTAATTAGTACAGCTGATTTTTGTTTTTTCGTTATCTCACCAATAGCAGCTTTAATCTCCTGAATTGTTTCTGGATTGTTGGCGTAACAATATTTCTTGCATCGCTCCCCAAAGATATATAATAGTCTAATGACGTCAAATCGCAGCTTCACGCTGATTCACCCAAAATTATTGTACTAATCGCAAAATATGTGTACATATACATGTACAATATTGTACGGTCATTAAATAGTTACTATTCGTGAATACTTACCTGGTATGATATCGTACAATGCATTCAAAGAATAGCGAACAATTCGGAGTGATGTGTACATTTAGAGTCACAATCAGTGTTATTCAGGCGACCATTGTTATCCCTACCAACTTGTAATTTAAACAAGCCTTGTAATTTGCGCAAGTCTTGTTAACCAGTGTTATTCAAGCGACCATTGTTATTCTTACCAACTTGTAATGTAAACAAGCCTTGTAATTTGCGCAAGTCTTGTTAACATTCAGCAATTCAGATGACCATACAAGCAACAAGACTTGTTTTAACTCTTGTAAAATGTACTTGTTAACTAACGCGGTTGCAATTGCTGGCGTTAAGTCCAACAAGAGTGGTTGAGAAATCTATTTTAATAAGATCGTTCTATATGTTCAGTTGGATTTCAACATAGTTTTTGCGAATTCGACATTTATTCTGAAAAAAAGAGATGGACCAGGACTATTTACTGCTTTTGCACATGTTACAACAAGCAGATGAGAGGTAAGTCTCAAAATTAATTAATTTTTTAAATGTCAAATTGGATTATCATTAATCATTTTAGATACCAAGTTAATTTACGAAGACGGACACTCCGTGATGCAAGTAACCCCATGACGATGCCGGAAAGTACGTTCATGTCAGTGTTCAGACTATCTAGGGAATTGGCTCAGGATGTTATAGATGAACTTAGCCCTCATCTTCGGCAGGAAAGAGGACCAACACCAATACCAATTTACCTTAGGATTCTTGTGGCGCTGCACTTTTATGGACAGGGTAGTTACCAAAAAGGTGTTGGTAAGGACTACCACCTAGCCATGTCGCAGTCATCAGTCAGCAGGTGCATCGCAGAAGTCACTGATGCAATAAACGAGGTAATGGTAGACAGGGTGAACTTCCCAACAACATTTCAACAAAAAAATGCTGAAAAACTGAAGTTTGCCCAAATTTTACATGGATTTCCGGGGATAATAGGAGCCATAGATTGTACGCATGTTGCAATTCAGTCGCCACCTGTTCATCATCCAGAATACCCAGCAATTGTATTCTACAACCGGAAGGGTTACTATAGTATCAACACACAAATAATTTGTAGTGCCGATTTAAAAATTTTGAATGTTAATGCACGGTTTCCCGGGTCTGTGCATGATTCGGCCATTTGGACAACTTCAGCCATATATCAACATTTAAGAGACGCATACAATAATGGAGATACAGGATCGTGGTTGATAGGTGACTCTGGCTATCCCTTACAACCGTGGCTCATGACCCCATTAGGTGGACAGGGTTTAACACCTCAAGAGCAACGGTACAACGTAA